GAAGTAAGGAGGGTATTATGCATTGCTGTTAAACATCGTTGGACTGCTGACACGGGACGTATACATGGACTCATCCATCTCCACTTGGCCGTAATGTAAGTGTTCAATAAATGAAATCTTTTACGGAGTGGAGCGCCAGGTCGGCGTAGTATCCTATAGTAGGCCCAATAGGCATTATTGGTCATGGAAAGCCTAGCAGCCAAAATCGTCTGTGAGTTTAAGTCGAATCCCAGAAGAATTCCGAGAAACTTAAAGGAACGAACGGGTTGAAGGGATACCTGGCGAACAGTAAGAGGGTGGGACGGGAGGTCAGGAGAAACAATGAACTTACATTTCTCAAGGGCCAGGGAGAGCCCAATAGAGGACAAGATATCGATTACGCCTTCTAAGAGCCTACGAGCTTGGCAGTAGGACGTGGCAAGAAGAATAATGTCATCCGCGTATAACAGATTGAAAAGTTTGTAAGTTTGGCCAGAGTCTGAAGTGGATTGTATCCAAGTATTTTCAGAAATATCCCATCGTGTGTGAAGGATGCCAAGAAAATAGTCAAGGGTACGCCCAAAGATCTCCGCGCTGTAGCTGGAGCCCTGTAGGAGCCCGCGGAAGAGCTGCTGAGTCCAAGTTTCTCCCGACATACCAACTATAACCCGAGAAAGGACGATAATTTTAAGGAGAAGCAAGGATTCAAGGCGACCACCAAACAAAGCAAAGTAGCTGGCGATTGAGTCATGTGACAAATGGTCGAATGCAGAACTAATGTCCAATTTGATAGCTATTAAAGGTAATCTGTATTCTTGGGACAAATGAATTATGTGCTGAAGACAAGCTGAGCCGTCGAGTGTCTGAGAGCCTTTAATGCATGCAATTTGATTGGCAGCGGGGAGAGGAAAAACGGGGCGGAGGCGAGTCAGAAGGATTTTTGTGAAAAGTTTGGCGGGTGTGGAAGAGAGAACGATGGGCCGGAGGTCTTTTGGACATGAGGGTGCAGTGATTTTGGGAATGAAGGTGAGGCGAGAGACAAGCCAGGAAAGTGGAATAGGGGCAACCTGGAACAGAATGGAGTTAAACAAATCTACAAGGTGAGGGGCTAGCTCCGAAGCGACGATTAGATTGAGGAACTCGTAAGAAATACCATCTTCACCACAGGATTTACCAGGTTTACATGTGGCTAGGACAGAAGTAACTTCCTCAAGGGAAATCAGGGCGGGTTTGTCGAAAGAGCCAACACGGGAAAGATAAAGATCAACTGCTTCAACAGGGGGCGGGTCAGGGGGGGTATATATTTAATTTTGTAGAAATGTTTGAGGTCAGAGATTGCCTTGGGAGCTCCGCCTGCTCTAACAACATAATTACTGTGCATGGTAATAATGTTCTGACGTTTCTTAAAGTATGCGATGGCCTTAAAGTCTCCATGGGATCCTCTGTCCAATAAATCAGTTAGCCAAGAAGACTTAGCGCTAGCTCTGGCTCGTAGGATGTCTTTACCCAAAGCCCTAGCTTGAGGCCCTGTCAGAAGTCTTCTACGAGCAATCATGCTGAGAATGTGAGGCGGGTCCCTATATCGATAGCTCTTAGGTCTAAAGCTGACTTTGTCACAGAGGTCTTCAAGATGGCCTGTGGTTAAGTCGCGACCCTGCAGATCGAGTTTCTGCGCTATGGCAGAGGCTTGTTCGAGGGTTTCAGGGCCGTTGACCTTCCACTGCCCACACTTGTTACGGCTGCGCTTAGGGCGGGTTTGTCTGGGTGAGGTGTGGTTGTCAAGGGTTCTATGGGCCGCTGAAACCGCTCTATGATCACAGCCTAAAATAAAGTCTGTGTTCTCATGCACACTTTGCTGCAAAATATCAATCGTAGGGGCGGAAACCAGAACAAAGTCGATCTTTGATTCAGAGCCTCTTTGGTTACTCCAGGTGTATTTGTCAGGTTTTGTGGCAATTAGACCATGTTGTTGCATGAACTGGGAGGCAATAAAGCCTCTTTCATCTGAATTGTTAGGGTCGAGACAAGTCTCAACTGCACCTAATTCATAATTAGTATCAAGCAGGAGGACGACTGTATCATGCACTCGCCTCTTTGTCAAAAATGCATCTAATTCCGAATTAAATGTTTGCCATGTATCGATACAGTCCGATCGCAAGGTGCGCTGAAATAATATAAGTGCGGGATGCATTGCGTTTGAGAATGACCCCGATGCCACAACTTAGAGGTACAACTTTTTCAACCGATGAGAGATGAAGACTGGGGAGCCCAACTGCAACTCCTCTGAAGGAAAGAGGGGGTTGGTGGCAAAGAAACCCTAATTACCGTCAAGGGAGGCCTCTAGTGTTTGCCACGGGGGGTGTAATGTGTTTACATCCACCAAGTTCCTGAACTCCGATAACATCAAAACCTGCAAGATCTAATTCAGACCAAGAGGACTCAATATCTGAAAGTGACTTCCCTTGAACGTTCCAAGAGGCTGTGAAACAGTGACCCTTTCGATTGTGAACCCGAAGAGGAGAGTCATTCGGGGCGTCCCGAGGGTCCATATTGATCCCATAATTCCTGCAGGGACTCCTGGGGTCGTCTAGTCAGGGCGGTAAAGGCTGAAGCCTTAAGATACCACTCAATATGATTGCCTTTGGAATCACCCTGAAGGCTCGCCGTCGCGAAAGACGCTCCCTAGTAGCTGATGTTTCCCAATAAAGACTTTGCCTGACCAAACGATGTCGATGCAGGTGTCCGGGAAGGGATTCGGCAGGTTCGGATCAAGGCTTGGGAGATTGGAATAGAATTCCTTGGTAAGGACTATAGCCCTAGTGCGAACTCTTTCCTCGGGGGTTTTGCTGCGAGTCATCCAAAGTTTTCGGCTTTCACTTCCGACTACTCCGCTCACGTATTTTTTGGCTTTGAGTTTATCAAGGACTCGTTTTTGAAGTCCTCGTCGGAGGCTGAGGTTCATGTCAGTGGGAAACTTAAGGCGGAGTTTCACGAAGCTGGTTCGGCTGAGTGGGCTCCAGACTTCTTCGATATCGTTCTCAACTTTGGCATCCTTAAGAAGGTTGCGTGTTTCAGCAATAGCATCATCGCGCCGGGCGTCGGTCCAGCCTCCTACAACTAGATCCAAGTCAGGTTCATCCGATTCATCATCGACGCGATCGTTGATGTTGGAGAATCTGGGTGATCTTGGGGAGCGTGGGGATCTAGGGGCACTAGTGGGGCGCAAACGGGGAGATCTGGACCCAGAATCTTTGGCTGCTTCAAGTTCACGGATTTTGTCTTCAAGGCTCCTTATTTTCTGCTTGGTCTGAAGATGTTCTGCTGTGTGTTCAGAAGCAATCGATTCAAGGTGGGTAATCCTAACCCCATGGGTCTGAAGGCACGTGCTAATCTCAGCGTGTTGTTGATCAGCTTTGTTGTGGAGACTTTGCAGGCCTAGGTTGATGTCTGCCAGCCATGGAGGCATTTGTTGGGGCGCGGAGGCGTAAGCAGGGTTGGGGTGGGTCCCTCGGGATGATGCATGCATGTCATTATTAATTTGTGGACCTGCAGTTAATTCTGAATTGGCAATTGGGCTTATCCCCAGCCTTTCATCTGAAGACCGAGCAAAGTGATTCAAAGCTGAAAGCCCTCCGACTGCCTGGTGAGGTTCCGCAGTAAGGTGTCTGAGTAGGCCTGCCGCCTGATCTGGTTTGATGGTTCGGGCAAGTTCGTCGTCATAGCCTCCCCCTTTGTCCTCAGGCAACGCCTTATCCTGTTCTGTGAGGTCAATTTGCTCAGGTAGTCTATGAATGGGAGAAGGATGAGGTTCACCTGGGTTATTAGGAATCTCTCTTGCCTGGGAAGCAAAGGACGGAGAGTTGGCTTGTTCCGGTGGAGGAATGTCAACATCGTCAGCCTGGGAGTCAGCATCGGTTTGAGTAGATCCGAAGATGGGCTGTCCCGGGGTAATCTCTCCTTTTTCAGTCTCCATTTCTACATCTCTTGGTTCAAGCTTTGCCTTCTTGTTATCAGGTGTGTCTACCACGCTAGGGCGGCGAACTACAGGGGCTCTGTCTCTGTTAATGGACTCTCGCTCTCCACCATTCTTGGCATTCTCAAGGTTAGCTGCTTCAGAGTATGGGTTGGCTTGGGTCCCTTCCAGGATCTCTGTGTGACGCCCTACGGCCGGGAGAAAATGGGCGGGTTTTTCAGCAGGCATTCGCAAATGTGGAGGCCCCCAAGTGCCGAAAGAAATCTGAACGTTCTTAGGTCTATTATCCCCTTCAAGATCGTCACCCCCACTCATTTTGTCAGTGTGCTAGAGCCGAAATCTGTAGCCATTTCGAGAACAAATAGGCTTCAGGGTCTGGTGTGTTTACATCTCTTGGGCTGAGGTTCAATCCGTTTGCCTCGGGTTTGGCTTCTTCCACTTTTGGCGAAAGCCTTGAAAGACTTGGGTGTTGAAGTCTTTAAACCTTGGCACTGATCCCAGCAAACCGCGTACTGGCAAACCTGCCATTAAGGCGCAGTTGCTTCGCGTGGCACTTTTCAAGCAAAGCAGGCAGGCTGTACTCCAGCAAGATGCGAGCACGCCATATTTCCGTGAGTAATTCGGTTACCGCTTCCGAGGCCCCGCCTTGCGCGATTGGGTGCAAGCGCTTGAGATGAGGGATCCCTCGCTTGCCATTGGGTGTAAAGGAGACTGCGTCGGGGGAGTCTTAGAGGTGCCACATGGTGCCACACAGCCGGGTGCGGCATGCGAAGCGGTCTGGGAATCACGCACGAAGTTATTAATGGCCTGAGCGGCAGCTGTCTCCTCTCAGCTTGCTGGAGCACAAGCCTCCTTTGCCCGAGAAGTGCCACGTGAAGCAAGCCCAGTAGGCTTTCCGGAAATGCCGGCCAATCGTGCCAGAGCATCCATGCAATATCCGTGACTCACGGCTCCAAGAAAGTGCATCAGATCGCTATGCGTTCATTTATAGTGACCGCCCAGACCCCAGCTCTGCCTCTACAGTTGTGTTTCTTGCAATCCCGCCGGCCTGGGATGTCCCACCTAACCACGGTGCCTTGGCTCTGAGTCCAGTTGGACTAGCCAAAGCCTTCTGTACACTCTGTGTGAATGTTTATGGCTCATTATGGCTCTGCACACATACACACCTATGCAGTCTTCCGCAGCCTCCACGCTGTGATCAGACTGTACGCATGGAGCCAAGCTCAACGTTCAGAGGCGATAAAGGCCCCAGAACCTGGAACTGGCCTGAAGAGCCTGATTCATTGCCTTAAGCCATGCAGTCCTCCGCGTTGGGCCAGGAACTGCATTCATGGGGTGCCCCGCCCCTGCTTTTTAACATGAAACTTCGCAACAGTTGGCTTTTTGTACCGGGGTTGCACACACACACACACACAGTCTTACACATACGCTTCTCTGAATTGCCAGCGGATGTGTGAAGGTTGGTTCGCTGCCGGCTGGTCAAAGCTCTGACTGCTTGCAGCCACGATTCCTGGATCGACTTCTGGGAGCTCAAAGACTTCAGCAGAGACTTCTGCCTCGCGTTTTCCAATCCCTCGCCCTCAAAGCAAAACAGAGGGCAAGAGGGCTGCAGTTCGTATCAGTGCTGGACTCGGTTGTGGAAGTCTAGCACTATAGGGCACAAAGGGCGGGGAACAACGAAGCGTCGACTGTGGCACGAAGCTAATCACAAGTACCATGAATGCATGTAAGCAAAACTGGTCGGCTTTGTCGACAACGTTGGAGATGGGCTTGGAGGCTTTGGCAGCCAGTCGAGGCTGCTCATCCTCCTGACAAATCTCGTCTTATTTTCCAAATTGGTGGCGCCAGTGTCTGCAGCTGCCTAAACGTCGGTGACTGCTTTTCATGTCGGCCTCACTCCATACTCGCTTTCATCATCTTCATAATAGGGGCGGGATAGAGTCAGCATGGCTGATTTCCGAATCCAGTAGAATATGTATCAAGAGTCGCATGAGAAGCTGCAACGATACCGTGATGGTAAGCTAATTGCTAGTGTGTGTTTTGTGGTGACGGGTCTGGCGTCCTGAATGGTGAGAAGGGAAGACCGACCATGTCGAGCAGAACGGGATCTTGGCGTCGTGTAAGGACGACGGAGCGGGCTAGACCGCCGTGGCCGGTATGCATTTTCGACTAAAGTGACTAAAGGCTCGTTCTCCCCGCGCCGCTCCCCCTCGATATCCTCGGAAGAGACCAGATCTTGTTCTTCTCTGACAGTCGCTTCTGCTTCAGTCCTTTGCAGGGCACAAACGCGAGTAATTACTTACACTTAGACTCCATTTAAACAGAGCAGACTGTGACGCTGAGTTTTTGTCTCACTTGCCTGGAAGTACATGACTGGCTTTCCAGCTGGTAGTTCTCCATGCAATGAACATCCTCGGAAGATTTTGTTATCGCTTGGCACGGGCTCTCTGTCGTCACACGACGTCTTCGTGGTCCACCTCTACAGCTTCTCGGGCAAGGAACAGAGTATAGCACTCAAAACCTGAGGTGGGTTGATCACAAGGCAAGCCCTGCCTCGTACCTTCTATCGAGTGTGTCTCACAGGCCATCATGCATGAATTGGGCAATGCCCAACCACACTTATCTCTGGAAGGATCTTGAATGGCTTTTGCCTCTCTGTCCTGCGCCGGCACAGAACTGATGAGCAGACCCCACCTCGAAAAGTGTCAGCAAGGATGTGGCTGGCTAGTTTTAGCAGCACGCGCCCTGGGCACCGGGCACAGGGTCCAAATCGGGATCGGCTTTCGCCATCCTAAGCTTTCGTAAACTGTGCCTGCATCAATGGGTTGGGGAAGCGGCAAAGAGTTACAGTCCGGTCCTTGGAGCGATCAGGAAGCTCCTTGTTGTCTTACGATGTCAACATGTCCCTCAAGACAATCAATGCTTGCAGCTGCAGTACACAAACAGTGACAAAGTCTGCGCGCAGGCCAACCCGGTCTGCCAGATCCAGTCCCAGCCCGGTGGCGCTGTGCGTGCAGTGGGGCGCAATGCTTTGAGATCCCGGCTTTGATTGTTTTGTGCGTGCAAGTTAAATACTGTCTCCGCGATGGCCTTAGGCACATGCTGCAGGAGGGCCCGTGTTGCTAGTATCGGCTCATGGTGAGAGATCCCTTGGTTGTACCGCCTCCGACGCGCAGTTCGCGTGCGCATGCGCTCTCTTTCTTTTCCCGGGAACTTGCTCCTCGTGGTAAGGGCACGCCCGTCCTCGCACCCTCTGCACGCATCCGCGCCCTGTTTCTTGTCTGGGTTGGGTGAGAAGCTGGATTTCGGAGAAGAGGACTTGGCACCCTAAGCGTACTTCGGACCCCCCAAAAAACCAAACCCCAAGAGGCCTCTTCCCCGGTTCGGTTGAATAACTCTTTTCGGTTGCAGCTGTCAGTCTGGGGTCCTGGCACCACTGTCACGGAAAGCTTCTCTCTCTGTCTCTATCTTTCCGTCGTCGTCTGTCGCCTTCTTAAACAGTATACCTTGAGTTTATCTCTTCCTTCGCCTCTGACTCACTGCACGGGTTGCAACAGAGTACGCAGACTTCGCAAGGCCAGGCGTCTCATCGGCAGTGGCTTGGCCCAGGCCATCTTTGGAGTCATCGACCGAAGCAGAAATCACCGCTGCCATGGTTTGGAGTTTAGGGTCTGGATACTGGTCACAACGAGATGCAAATAGAAGGGCTTTTCTAAGATTGCAAACGAGAAACTGAGTTTGAAGTCACCTTGTAACTATCCATATGCCGACACTTCTGAATTTAACCTCCCGGCGTGAAATTCACGTTACCTCACAGTAACAGCAACTCATGAAGTGAGGAACATGAGACTATCATGAGGTTCAGGGTTTGGCTGCCGCGAGAGGCCTGCATTTACTGAGCTGTTTCTGCCGAGATTCTAGGTCGGCGAATGAGACGACTTTAGGGTTCAATCTTTCTGTCATTGGCGGTGTGGCAAAAATGCTTGGCTCGCACATGGCTGAGGGAGCTTGTGCAACAGAGCGAGACAGACCGACTTTCTGCAGGACTCCGCCTGCAGACCCCCACCCCTCCTTCTAAAAAGAGTTGCGCGTCATTTCCAGCTCGTCTCAAAGCACATCGAAGGATCGGGATCCAGCTGTCCTGGCTCAGCCTGCAGCAATCGCCACATCTGTTGCCCGGACACCCTTCACTGCCTACCCACAGCATCGGCACATTCCTTGGAGCAGGGGCCTTGCTGGGAAAGCTCCATGAGTTTGGCCCACATTGGGTCATCATCTTCTTTCCTTTTGCACAGCAAACAGCGACAAAGCTAAAGCGAAGCTTCATGTTTCGTGCCGGACGGACTTGGACTGGGTCCAAGAGCCCTTGCTCCGGGAGTACACCTACGGAAAGGGGTGTAAGTCCCCGTAAAGCTTCAACATGCACATATCTAGCACCGCGCAACCAAAGAATGCAAACGTAGCGCACAAAGATGTAGCAAACAGTTTTTTGCTTCAGGGCTCCATCGGACTTGCCTGTATAGCAAACAAAAAGCAGCTTTCATGTCTTATAGGTACACATCTCAGGCTGGTACCAAAAAGCAAAAATGCACTTCCAAATACTTCCCAAATCATGGCTTGAGAGTGTCTGCATGCGTACATCTGCCATATGCCAACGCCTTCTAATAGTCCATGCGCGCGCCCCGGCTGGATGCATCCCAAATTCGCACATCATGGATGCGGACATGAATGCTTGCTGTCCGTATACCTAGGGATGCACGGATTTAAATGATGAAGTACATACCCATTGAGTACACCTGTTGCATGGACTTGTGCAATCGCCAATCATAACATTGAAACGCACAAAAGGAGTCATACCAAGCAGATGAATGAATCGGACTCCCTCTCTCTTCCTCTACCAGGCCAGAGAGAACAAGGAGGTTGCCCCCACCAATGGACTCTCTCTCTTTCTTCACTTCACTTCACTTCACTTCGGGGTTCAGAGGGCGTGTCAAGCCCCCCGCGCCGAGAGGCGCGCCCCTGTTTAGAGGCTTTAA